GAGAAGGTGAGGATGGCAGGAGGAGGGCGGCGGCGGCGGGTGGAGAGGTGGGGGAGGGAGGAGGGAGAGCAGAGGGATTGCAGGGTTAGAGAGAGAGAGAATGGGTATTATAGTCTTTCCCTGTGTGAAATTCATTGGGCTTTGTGTTTGGGGGCTCAGAGAACAAAAAATTTACTTTTGGGGGCAAAGCACCCGTTGAAAAAGTCTTGGGGGGGGATGACATGACAAAATTAAAGTAGAAATCCTATATGTGAACAACATATTTTGAACCGTCTAAAAGATGAGAGACTATTTGGAAAATTCAACTGCTTCTACGCGGAGTCTCCTACTGACATAATAAAGTTATGATGTTTATGACATGACAAAATTAAAGTAGAAATCCTATATGTGAACAACATATTTTGAACCGTCTAAAAGATGAGAGACTATTTGGAAAATTCAACTGCTTCTACGCGGAGTCTCCTACTGACATAATAAAGTTATGATGTGATTGATATTCACAAAATTAAAGCACGCAGAAATATATGCTATATTCTATTATTTGCGAATGTTTACACTAGTAAAAATTTAAATATCCTAGACGGAATATCCCAGACGAAAAATTTTCCGTCTGGGATAATCTATACTAGACGGAAAATTTCCGTTAAGGAATTTCCGTCTACAATATCATATTCTAGACGGAAATTTCGTCTAGAATAGTATTGTAGACGGAATTAATTCTAGACGGAAATTTTCCTCTAGAATAGTATTCTAGACGGAATTTTCCGTCTGTGATAATTATCCCAGACGGAACAGTTTTCCGTCTGGGATAAATAACCCAGACGGAATATTCCGTCTGGGATAAATAACCCAGACGGAATATTCCATCTGGGAAGTATCCGTCTGGGATACATCCCAGACGGAATTTTCCGTCTGGGATACAAAATATCTCAGACGGAAATATTCCGTCTAGGATAGTTATCCTAGAAAGAAAACGTCCGTCTGGAATGTATTACAAACGATTTTTTTTTTCCGTCTATTAAAATCCGTCTAAAATACATTCCAGACGGAATTTTCGTCTGGAATAATTTATTCTAGACGGAAACAAATTAGACCCGTATTCCAGACGGAATTTCGTCTAAAATAATTTGTCTAGACAAAATTTTAGTTATTCCAGACGGAATTTTCCGTCTGGAATGCGTCGTTTTGTACCAGTGTTAATATCACACGAATAAATTAAATGACATAAAATGAACTTTTTACGGCAATACCTTTGGAGGAGGAATTGATGAGGAATTGTCAGGAAGACTATACTCATTCATAACCCAATCGGTTTTGGATCCACGAGGAGCCCGGCCTATATAGAAGACCAATGTCTTCTTGAGCCCAATAAGGTGCTTGGGGTTGGCCGCACTTCTGATGGGCCGGTTAGATCCGGTTGCCTTCCAAAACCCGCGCTCAGTCGTCCGATTTGGCCTCCCGCCGAGGTAATTGATAGAAAAACTGATTCTGATGGAATATAAAAGCTTTTAAGAGCTTAAAATTTTGTATTAATTAACTAAAAAGAAAGAAAGAAAGAAAAAGATCATTATTCGCTTTAGATATTAGATGCAGTACCAGGAAGTTCCCACGGATCAAAACGGTAGAGATTGATAGTGCCGATAATATCAAAACCCAGCTTCTTGCCGAGCACCATCCGCCGAAGATAGAAGTTGAGGAGCTCCTCCTCGGTCGGGTGGAACCGGAACCCCGGAAGGTCTAACTCCGACCCGCTTTTATCCATGGCCTGGATCCTCACAAATTTTTTGTAGCAAACCTGTTTTTAGTTCTAGATTGGCTTATGTATAGGAGCTCAACTCTTTTTTCTTGGGTTTTCTACTTGATAAATGAGAAGAGCATATATATATAGAGAGAGAGACAGAGGACTAGAAGCCATGGGTGAAGTTTGTGGGCACTAGATAGCTAGATGGTTGGAGATGAGCCCGCGCAGACTCTATGGAGCAAAGTCTTTGGACTTTAATTACGGAGGAAATAATGGTGCAAGTTCACAATGTTTTGTCACTTTTGGCAAAACCCCAGACTAACTGTTATTGGAATCCCAGAGAATGCCAAGCAGGACTGATTTTGATTACCTTTGATAAGGATGTAAATATTATTAGTAGCCGGATTTTAACGAAAATGATTAATTTTATCTGGGTAACATTCAAATGTCTGTAATAATGTTTTATTTGATGGAGATAATATATGTTTAAACTATTGAGATGATGTCAAATGTGAGTGCGTAGAGTCTCAATAGGTATGCTTGTTGTTTGCTGTCGGAGGAACACTGCGGGAACCATCTGATGGAAATAAATTAATTTGGGAATTAACAGTGTTTTGACTAAATTTATTCTAGTTGTTTTAGAGTATAATATTTTGAAATCTTCGTATCATGGAAAAAATTTAAAATGATACGAAAACAAAGAAGATTTAAAATTTGTAAGCGTGCATTTAAAACCTACAACCCTTAATTTTTGTTGTAACTTTAGAGTTTTCGTACTTAAAACTAGAATTTACGAATAAATGCACACTATTAGAATTAGGTAGCTTTAGAAAAAAGTGAGTACTTGACTGGATGTCATGAGGTGCCATAGTTTTAGCTTAATTAACCTGCTATCCGAATGAGCAGTCTAATATAAGTAAGCATGAATAACAAGTTTTAACTTTTGTGTGTGAGAGATCTTAGCTTAATACCCACCATTGCAGCCAAATAAACCGCGATGTTTGGGACCTCCCTTTTGTAATCCAGACCTAGATGAAAAATAGCATAAGTGTTGTAATACCTAATAAGTAGAAATTGAGACTGAACCTACCATAGCATATAGAACTGTTTTCTTTTTGAGCTAAGGTCCCAAAAACCTTTACAACTATAGTCCACTTACAGGGTCAACAAGTTTTAATTTGATAAGAAAGATTGGCTTTTCCACCTATATCAGTCCTTTTTTTTAAAACTGTTGCTAGCTACTTGATGTTTGTTGTAACTAAAGGTGTTAGCGATATGTTTCCCATGAGATTGCACTCATACAAATTGTTAACATATTTATATTATGCAAGGGGTTATTTGTAAGATGTGTTTTGTAGGGCTTAAATAAGCCCATGTTATCTTATCAATGAGATTAAGGTTTCATATATTTTCTACTTGGTATCAGAGCCTCCACCCAAACCCTAGCCGCCGCCGCCCCAGAGGAGCTTGTTCGATTTCCTCGACATTTCAGTCCTAGAACTGATGAGAGGAAGAGTGTATATCTCACGGTGTTGATATATATCACTGTCGATTCTTGTTTCCTTTGAGAAACAAGAATTTAGTTGAGATCCTACTCTTGTTGTGCAGCAGAAGTGCTGCAGAATTTTTTACTGCGCACAACAAGGGAAGGAGAACAGGTAGTTGATCTAAAACCTAATCGATGAAGGAGATCATCAAGAAGTTGAACCCCGCGGAGGTCTCAACTTTGATGCAGTTGATGAAGTTGTCGGCCGGTGAGAGTACGACAAGGACACCAAAAAAGTTGGAGCTTCCATCCATCGATCTGAAGCTTGATGGACCAGCTACTTACCTAAGTTGGTCACGACGGGTGAGGTACACCATTGTAGGAAGGAACCTGGAGGGGTACTTGACAGGAGAGACGACAGAGCCGGCTGAAGGCTCAGCTGAAGATATAAGTGGAAATCCACTCATATGTTGGTGTACATCTGGCTCCTCAACTCATTGGTCCAGTCGATCGTCGCCACAGTGGATGGCATTGAGAAGGTGAAGGACGTCTGGGAGAAGTTGAGGAAGACCTATGATGAAGTGGAGAATAACCTAAGGGTGTTCCAGATTAAGGGAGAGATCGACGCCACAGTTCAGGGAGAGAGGACTGTACAGGAGTATGCCACAGAACTGGAGTGCCTGTGGCTAGATTATGATCACTTCTCACCTCGGACGAGCTGCAAGGACCTGGGATGTAAAGAGCGGGAGGTCTTTCTACAGGAGAGGACTATGGTGTTTCTCAAGGGATTGACATTAGAGTTCGCTCAGCGAATTGCATTGCTGCTAGCTCAGCCGAAGATTCCCACGCTTGAGGAGGCAGTCTCAGCTATGATCCAAGAGGAGACTCGCATTAGGCTGTAGACGGGGACAAGTGGACTTCCTGTGGTGAAGTCAGCACTGACAGCCTCTAGCAACATTGGATCCAGTGGAGAGACTCGACAGTGCTACAACTGCGGTGAAGTGGGTCATCTAAGGCATGCTTGCACCAAGCCACTCAAGGAAGGAGATTCGGGTGGACGTGGACAGTTCAGAGGTCGTGGTCGTGACCGTGGGGGTTGACAAGGTGGAAGAGGAGCAGACAACCGGGCAAATCTGATGGTAGCAGAGGGAGAAGAAGAAGCTAAGGTGGTCTTTACTGAGGAGGATCATGCGCTCCTGGCGATACTCAGGAGGAAGCAGAAAGTAGCAGGGGATGGAGACAGGAGGAGTTGGACTGAGGAGGCATCCACTTCGTTCTTCACCAGAGGCAACAATGCTACCTATGCTCATCCGACCAAAGGTACTGATGACATACATGCTCTTGCTTCTATGTCTCCCGATAGATCATCAGAATGGATAGTCGACTTCGGTGCGTCTCGACATGTGACAGGTAATGCTAGTGAGTTCTCATCATATACTCACATAGCATCGCATGATAGTATTCAAACAGCTGATGGTACATTTCAACCAGTGGTTGGTAAGGGTACAGTCGATTGTATAGGTTTTGTAACTTTGTTCAATGTTTTGCATGCTTCTTCCTTTCCAGTCAATCTTTTGTCCATTAGTGCTATCATCCTCCAACTAAAATGCATTGTTTCTTTTGATATTCCCAATGTGATCTTACAGGATAAGGGGATAGGGTGGAGACTTGGGACTAGCATATGGCGTAGTGAACTGTAATATCTGGATCGTGAAGGGCTGGATTCAGCGTTGGTGTCAATGGTAGAGAGAGCAGGAGTAGGATTTGAGATGAGTGCTGAGAGTGTGTTGATGCTTCATCACCAGCGTTTGGGACACTCATCCTTTAGTGTTTTAAGTAGGTTGTATCCATCTCTATTTGAGAAAGCAAATAAGCAGAACCTTGTGTGTAATGCATGTGAGTTTGGAAAGCTTACTAGAAGTTCTTATATAAGTTCTGGTCATAGGAGTTCTCGTGCATTTGACCTGATATATTTAGATGTTTGGGGGCCTTGTTCCACAAGTTCTATGAATGGATACAAGTATTTTGTTACCTTTATTGATTGTTTCTCTCGCGTTACTTGGTTATACTTGATGAAAAATAAGAGTGAAGTGTTTGGTTGCTTTCAAAACTTTTATAGGTATGTTCAGACTCAATACGATACTGTGGTGAATGTATTGAGATCTGATAATGAGACAAAGTATACTAACAAAGCGTTTGAGGAATACTTGTCAGCTCAGGGAATACAACACCAGACTACATGGCCATACACACTAGCTCAGAATGTGGTAGTGGAAAGGAAGAATATATATCTTTTAAAGGTTGCTAGAAGTATGATGATCTCCATGAATGTCCCAGAAATATTATGGGGGCAAGCAGTATTGACCGCAACAGCACTAATCAACAGAATGCTCTCGAGAGTGCTGGATTGGAAGTCTCTGTGTGAGACGTTGAAGGGAGATAATGGTGGGCTTCTTCCACTCAAGGTGTTTGGCTGTGTGTGCTTTGTGAAGGACAATAGGCCATCCGTCGGGAAGCTTGCCCCTAGAGCGGTGAAATGCATCTTTGTGGGATATTCTTCTACTCAGAAGGGATATGTTTGCTGGAGCCCGGTGGAGAAAAGGTTATTTGTGAGCATAGATGTGCACTTTCGAGAACTCGAGCCATATTACACCCAGAAGGTAATTTCTTCCGTTGGTAACTCGCCTAATACTGGAAGTATGAGGCGAGAGGAGGAGAATGGTGAGAGATCGGTGAATGTGGAGAAATCAATTTCTGTAACGATTCCTTGGGAAGGAGAATTGGTTGAGGAGGAGCAGGAGAATGAAGAAGAAGAGGAGAATGAGACAAAAGGTGTTAGACCCACGGCTCAGGGGGAGCTACTTACCTATAGTAGGAAGGGGAAACAAATTGCGGGAATAGTACCTACAGTGCCACTGGTGCCAAGTCTTTTGCCAACGCCTGCCCCGACTCCTAAGACACCTACACCACCACCAGATTCCTCTCAAGGTGATATCATTCCTCTCCTTACTCCTCCCACACCAATGTCTGTACGAAGGACTACTCACAGTAATGCGGGAAATCCTCCCGATAGATATGGTTAGGATCTTGCCCAGTTTGTATCATATTCTAACATCCATCCTGCACATGGAGCATTCATTACATCACGGGACTCGGATGTATCCGTAGTATTGCTCCCACTGCTTTGGCTATCCTTGGCATTGTCTCTGTCCTTGTACATCA